AAGCGGGGTTCCTGGGAATGGGATGAGGTACTCTGCAGGGTCCCTGAGCCACCTCCCACTCTAGGTTCACCTGGAAATACAGGCCCAGCCCTGCAAGGAACAGAGAATAGCAAAGTTCTGTGCGAGTTCGCTCAGGGGGTTCCCTGGGATGGGGTGAGGTGAGGAGCATGGGTGGGCTGGGGCCAGCTTCAGGGCTCCTGGGGATAGCCCAGGTGGGAGAGGGATCCAAGAGTCCTGCAGGCTGGAGAAGCCCCCTGCAGGCTGAGGAACCCAGTGTGGTGCATAGACATCAGAGAGGAAAAAGTGTGACCTCAGTTTCCCCTGCTGAGAAGCTTCTGCTGTGTTTATGAGGAAGCACATTCCTAAGACCCCAGTTCAAACCATGCAGGAGGAAGGTGCTTCTGCACATGTCCCTGGGTGGGTTTCTTGGGGCCTCAGTTTCCTCCTCTGTTGAATGGGTGCCTGGGAAGGTGAGCAGCTGCCCTTTCCTGGAGCATGTTCATGCAGCAGCCTCTCTCTGGCCTTAGTCCTGTTGACCAGTGGGGATATCTACCTGCAGGGTGGCTGAGGTCCCCTGAAGCTGATATATTTGCATGAACCCCTGGGCCCCATGGTCATTACTGGGGTAAATCACCACTTGAAACATACTGGTGGCTGGAATGTAGGTCTTGAGCAGACTGCAGGGCAAGACACTGTCCCCCAGAAGCCTACAAACACTTTGGGGTGTCCACTACTCTTGCTAGGCCAGAGTCAACCTGTGTACCTGCTGAGGGCTGTGGCCAGGTCCCCTTAAACCTGTGCAGTGACTGGCTGCCTGCACAAGCTTCTTCAAGCTTCTCTGGCTGGGCAGCTCAGGCTCTGGGTGTGGTGGGGGGGTTGGGAACCCACAGATTGACCATATAATTTCAGGAAGCACTGTTAAGACCTGGGTGCTTAGGGTTTTTGGATGCTGATGCCAAAGTAGTACTTTCATATAAAGGTGCCTCAGCAGCTTCTACACTGGGGTCCTGATTTGTGCTGCCTGGTGACCCCCACTCCTACCCAAATCCTACCGAGGCCCAGAGAAATGGGGCCTGGTCGTGGTGGTGGAGAAACAGAGGTGCTGACTGCACAGTGAGTCAGCAGACAGCAACTGCAGCCCAGCCCTGGTCCAGGCTCAGCCTCCTGGAAGGGGATTAGGGGAGATTAGGTACCTGAATCAGAGCACTGGGAGCTGGAGGGTTGCAGGGAACATGGATCCAACTGCTCCATCCTGGGCAGCCCAGCCAAGAAACTGGGGGCTCTGCAGGGTACATGGTGACAACCTCTGTGTAGTGGGGTGCTTGTGTCTGCCCAGGTGGAGAGCGTAGTGCTTCCTTCTGTCATTCTTAGGCAAGACCCTGTGCAGGCAGGAAGTCTCTTCTCTTGTACTGGGTGCTGGCTGGGGCTCAGCCTCAGGCTGACTGAGGCTTCTGACCCCTTCCCAGCCCAGAGCTGGCAGAGCTATGACAGATCTGTGGAGTGACCAGGCCACTCACAGCCCCAGACTAGCTGGAGACCCCAGGCTGTTCCAGGGGACATTGCTGACCTTGCCAGCCCCAGCTGGCCAGGATCCTTCAGCTGTCCTTTCCAGCCATGTCACTGTCCCACTCTAGAATCTCCCTGTTCCTACTTGGGCCAGAGACTTGTATGAGGAGGGCAGGCAGCAGATGAGCACTGAGAGCCAGGGTGTGGGGTCTGGAGCAGCTGAGTGGGCTTGGAGTGCTTGTTGGCTAAGAGGAGCCTGGCCGGCTGGGGGGTTCCTTTCCTTTTTTTCTGCTGCTGAAGAATGGGGTCAAGGGGATGTGTGGAACCCCACAGAAAAGGTGAGGGATAAAGGATGTGGGCACACCTGGAGGAGGCTCAGAGCAAAGCTGGTTGTGTAGAGAACTGCCACCTGTGGTACACAATGGCATCCACAGTGGGAGCAGACAGAAAACTGGTGCCCACTGGGGGCCTCTAAGGCCCAGCCTGCCTGGCCTCCCCCTCCTACTGCCAGGGAAACATAGCCAAATTGGAGTTTTAGACCCTGGTAGCAGCAGTGTGTGACAGGGGATGACACTCACGGGCAGCATGGCCCAGGTGCACTGGGTAGGTCTGTGGGGAGAGCTATCAGAAGGCAGAAGGCCAAGTGCCAAGTTGCTGGAGAAGCAGGGCTGCCTGGCTGCTGGAGGAACCTCAACTGGGGAGACTGGAGCTGGAGGGGGAGGAAGAGGAGATGCTTTTACAGTTAAAGAGCTCTGCACTGCTGGGCCACGGTGCCATCTGGCCAGGCTTGGTGGGTGGGGTAATGTGCAGGACAAGAAGAGACCCCTGGGGAGGAAGCACCCCGCCTTAAACTGGGTTCTGCAGGTGGCACTGAGGAAGGGAGGGGCTCATCCCAACACCACTGGGACCTTCTTTCCAATCCTTCACAGGTCCCCAACATTGCCACCACCATGGATCACTCCTTCAGCGGTGCACCGCGCTTCCTGACCCGACCCAAGGCTTTCGTCGTGTCTGTGGGCAAGGACGCCACACTGAGCTGCCAGATCGTGGGCAACCCCACGCCACACGTAAGCTGGGAGAAGGACCGGCAGCCGGTGGAGGCAGGCGCACGCTTCCGACTGGCCCAGGACGGCGACATATACCGCCTCACTATCCTGGACCTAGCGCTTGGCGATAGCGGGCAGTATGTGTGCCGCGCGCGCAACGCGATTGGCGAAGCCTTTGCGGCCGTGGGCCTGCAAGTGGACGCTGAGGCCGCGTGTGCTGAGCAGGCACCACACTTTCTGCTACGGCCTACGTCCATCCGCGTGCGCGAGGGCGCTGAGGCCACATTTAGCTGCCGCGTGCGCGGCTCGCCACGACCAGCTGTGAGCTGGTCCAAGGACGGGCGGCGCCTGGGTGCACCAGACGCCCCCCGTGTACGCGTGGAGGAGCAAGGCGAGGCGAGCAAGCTGCGCATCCGGGCGGCGCGACCGCGGGACGGTGGCACCTACGAGGTGCGGGCAGAGAACCCGCTGGGTGCAGCCAGTGCTGCTGCCTCGCTGGTGGTAGATTCAGATACGGAAGCTGCCAGCCCACCTGGGGCCTCCACGGCAGCGCTCCTGGCTCACCTGCAGCAGCGACGTGAAGCCATGCGCGCAGAGGGCGTCCCCGCCTCACCACCCGGCGCCGGCACCCGCACCTGCACTGTGACAGAGGGCAAACACGCGCGTCTCAGCTGCTACGTGACGGGTGAGCCCAAGCCTGAGATCGTGTGGAAGAAGGATGGGCAGCTGGTGACAGAGGGACGGCGACACGTGGTGTATGAGGATGCGCAAGAGAACTTCGTGTTGAAGATTCTGTTCTGCAAGCAGTCGGACCGCGGCCTCTACACCTGCACGGCGTCCAACCTCGTGGGCCAGACCTACAGCTCCGTGTTGGTGGTGGTGCGAGGTGAGGACCATGGTGCCAGGCGGCGGTCCCAGTGAGAAGCTGCCTGCGCGCAGGCAAGGGTCCTCCCTGGTCCCTGTGCCCACCTCCTTTGGCCCTAGCCGCCGCTGCCATAGGTAGCCCAATGGCGCAAGTCGGTCTTGGAATATAGACGAGAGTTGGAAGTCTGGGTGGCTCTCGCCTTTCACAGGTTTTGTTTCTGGTTTGCACAGTGCAGGGGCTAAGATCCTCCGTCTTTGCTGATTGTAGGGACCCGCTTTCCACTACAGCAGCGCAACCCGCCAAGTCCCTGCCCCTATCCCACCGCACTTATCCCTACCCTGCTGAGACCCCTCCAAACCTCACCATTTCCGGAACCTTAATACTTAGCCCCCTGTCTTTCCCTTATCACGTTTTCCTTGCCAAACCCCACTTCCCCACCTTTATCCGACATCGCCTCTTCCCCATTTCTGGTCCCCATCCACTGGGGCCCCCTGCCAACGGGCACCCTATATCCTACACCCTTTTTACCCCTTCCCACTCCTCCACCTTCTTCTGTCTCCGAATTCTGCCCCCCCCCCACTTCTCAACTCTCAGATCCCAACTCCTGCACTCTGGAGCCTCCTGTCCTCCGGTATCCTCTGGCCCCTCTCACCAGCCGGTCTCCACAGAGCCCACCGTGCCCTTCAAGAGGCGGCTGCAGGACCTGGAGGTGCGGGAGAAGGAGTCTGCCACGTTCCAGTGCGAGGTGCCGCAGCCCACCACCGAGACTGCGTGGTTCAAGGAGGAGACGCGGCTGTGGGCGAGCGCCAAGTACGGCATCGAGGAGGAGGGCACCGAGCGCAGGCTGACAGTGCACAATGTCTCAGCTGACGACGACGCCGTGTACATCTGCGAGACCACGGAGGGCAGCCGCACTGTGGCGGAGCTCGCTGTCCAAGGCAGGCGGTGGAGGGCGGGGAGGGCAGATTGGCGAGCCTGGGGCGGGGGAACCACCTGATGGGACAGAGCCGGACTGGAGTGAAGGGGTGGGAGAGTTGGGGAGTTGGGGAGGGGGTGGGAGGATTGGCCTGGTGGGGGTGGGCAGGGGCAAGTCAGGGGCAGGATGGGGAAATGCGATGGCGAGCCAGTATGCTGGCCGCCGGTAGGGCTAGGGGCAAGGCTGACTAGCCTGGGCTCTTCCCATCCCAGGGAACCTGACGCGGAAACTGCCCCGGAAGACAGTGGTGCGCGAGGGGGACACTGCCATTTTTTGCGTGGAGCTAGCAGTGCCTGAGGGCCCTGTGCGCTGGCTGAGGAACCAGGAGGAGGTGGTGACTGGTGGCCGAGTGGCCATCACAGCGGAAGGCACGTGCCACATGCTGACCATCTTTCAGTGCAGCTTGGAAGACATGGGGGAGGTGGTCTTCATGGCTGGAGACTCCCGCACTTCCACCCAGTTCTGCGTGTCTGGTAAGGTCCTGAGTGATACTGCAATGATGTCTTCCCTAGGACCCCTGCCTCAGTCCTTGGGCACATGGCCATCAGCGGCCCCTGATTCTTGATCAGGGCTGTGGGGAGGCTGGGGGGAGGTGTGGGTCACGCTCCTCCTTCCAGGTGAGGCCTCTTTGGTATCAGCCAGAGACTGCAGGTCTGGGGTAAGGTCCTGAGGCCACAGCTTCCCTGATGGCTGGTGGTCCAGTCTTTTGGCTGAAGTTCTATGATTCCTTTTCTGGGCCCCCATTAGTGACCTTGGCCCATCTCTTGCTAGCCCCCAGGAGGCCACCTCTCCACCCCCCTGTGGACCCTGTGGTGAAGGACAGAACGGAGAGTTCTGTGACCCTTGGCTGGTATCCACCACCCCCCGGGGACCGCCCTGTGACCATTGATGGCTACCTGGTGGAGAAGCGGCGGCTGGGTACCTACATCTGGAGGCGGTGCCACAAGGATGAGTGGGTGGCCACACCTGAGCTCACCGTCACAGGTGTGACTGAGGAGGGTGACTTCCAGTTCAGGGTGTCAGCTGTCAACAGCTTTGGCCAGAGTCCATACCTGGAGTTCCCAGGGACCATCCACCTGGGTAAGTGAAGCTGCCTAGAAAGGAGTGACCCCTGGCACCAGGGGCTGCCCCGGCCAGAGCAGAGCACAGCTTCCAGCAAGGCCTTGAAGAGACTCTTTGTGAGGGTGGGACATTGGGGCCTTCTTAGTGGGAAGGGAGGGGACCCAAGATAGGACTCAGGTCCCCTGTCTCCAGTAGCCCCAGGGGATGCAGCTTCAGTGCTGCCCAGCTTCAGAGGTTTGTGGGATCCTGGGGTATTGCCAGGTGGTTCTGGCTCGTTCCCTGTCTGTTGTGACTTGTGCTTATGGCTCCCTGTCTGTTGTGACTTGAGCCCAAATACCCGTCCTTTGGAGGAAGAGGAAGGGGAGGCAGGGACCTCACCTGCCCTGGTCCCCTCCTAACTTGCCTGCAACACAGCCCCCGAGCTGGCCGTGAGGACGCCCCTGAAGGCAGTGGCAGCAGTGGAGGGTGGAGAAGTCACCTTCTCTGTGGACCTTACTGTGGCCTCTGCTGGTGAATGGTTCCTGGACGGGGTGGCTCTGAAGGCCAGCCGCACGTATGTGATCCGCTGTGATCGCACCCGGCATACACTCACCATCCGAGAGGTGCCTGCCAGCCTGCATGGGGCACAGCTCAAGTTTGTGGCTGATGGCATTGAAAGCAGCATTCGGATGGAGGTCCGAGGTAGGCCTGGGTCCAGGAGCCTGTTTCCTTGAGGCGGTGTCAGCATGGGGTCCTGGGAGAGCTGCCCCTGTGGAGTTAGCCTGTAGCAGCAAGAGGAAGCAGGGCAGGGGGTGGGGTGCTGAGGCAGGCAGGCCAGGCAGGGTGTGTATGGACAGCAGGTTCAGCTGGACCCTGCCTCTCTGCCTGCCTCCTTCTTCCACCCTCCTCTTCATCCACCCACCCCATCCTCTCCTGATTCTGACCTTGTTTTTCCTTTCCCCTGTCTCCCTCCCTTACTGCCTTCCATTGCCCTGGTCCCTTCTGTCCACCCATCCCTGGCCCCCAGCAGCTCCTGGGCTGACTGCCCACAAGCCACCAGCGGTAGCCGCTCGCGAGGTGCTGGCCCGGCTACATGAGGAGGCTCAGCTGCTGGCTGAGCTGTCGGACCAGGCTGCAGCTGTGACGTGGCTGAAAGACGGCCGTGTGTTACCTCCTGGGCCCAAGTACGAGGAACAGGCTTCAGCTGGGCGGCGGGCACTGCTAGTGCGCGACGTGGGGAAGGATGACGCTGGCCTCTATGAGTGTGTCAGCCGCGGGAGCCGTGTTGCCTACCAACTGTCTGTGCAAGGTGAGGGTCTTGGGAAGGCAAGCCAGGGCCCACGTCCTTCCTGGCCCTTCTGTGGTGCGGGACATGCATCCCCTGTCCCCAGGCTGCAAGGGGTTCTGGGCAGCAGGGCAGCATGGGGAGGGTGGGAGGGCAGGCCCAACTCTGTAGGAGGGATAACTGTGGGTGGCCACTTGGGTGAGCAGTGAGTATCATGGTTGGGACTCAGCAAGCTGGCCAGGGTGCCTCTTATCTGGGTCAGAATCAGTGTCCTGTGTGGTCTGTGAGCCTGGGCCCTCCAGCCTGCAGCCTCTGTGCCAGGTGCGTGGTCAGGAGCTCTGTGGTCCCTGACCACCTCTGCCATACTCTGCAGGCCTCACGCCCTTTCTACGCAAAGACACAGTGGGCGGCTGTGTGGATGCTGAGTTGGGGGGCCCGGCGAGGTTTGAGTGTGAGACCGCGGATGCCCACGTCCCCGTGTGCTGGTTTAAAGATGGCAAGGAGCTGGGTGGCTCCTGCCAGCGCTTCTCTCAGGAGGACGTGGGGACCTGGCATCGGCTGGTAGTGGCCTCGGTCAGCAGGCAGGATGAGGGCACCTACTCCTGCCGTGTGGGTGAGGACTCTGTGGACTTCTACCTAAGGGTCTCTGGTAAGTACCTTATGTATACCTGTGCCCATACCTGTGGGTGGAGAGCAGATCTTGCTGTACACAGCACAATGTGACTGACCTTCTCGACCCTTCTTTATTGAGCCAGTGGTTGGGGGCAGCTTCTTCCCTGTTTGGGAAAATAAAATAAAATGCCAAACTAATGCTTAGAAGGTTAAAGGATCCAAACATGGAAAAGAAAGTACCAGGAAGGAAATTTAGGAACAAAGGATGAACTCTATCCCAGCTTTGGGAG